TGTCCCCGGGGGCCCCTGTCTGGGGGCCGGGCTCGGTGAGCGGGCCCCCGGGGGTCCCTGTGTGGGGGATGGGACGGGACGGGTGAGCGGGTCCCCGGGGGTCCCTGTGGGGGGGGCGGGCTCGGTGAGCGGGCCCCCGCGGGTCCCTGTGGGGGGGCCAGGCCGAGCTGGGTGAGCGGGTCCCCGGGGGCCCCTGTCTGGGGGATGGGACGGGCTGGGTGAGCGGGTCCCCGGGGGCCCCTGTCTGGGGGATGGGACGGGCTGGGTGAGCGGGTCCCCGGGGGCCCCTGTCTGGGGGATGGGCCGGGCTCGGTGAGCGTGTCCTCGGGGGTCCCTGTATGGGGGTCCCTGTCTGGGGGATGGGCCGGGCTCGGTGAGCGGGTCCCCGGGGGCCCCTGTGGGGGTGCCGGGCCGGGCTCGGTGAGCGGGTCCCCGGGGGCCCCTGTCTGGGGGATGGGCCGGGCTCGGTGAGCGGGTCCCCGGGGGCCCCTGTCTGGGGGATGGGACGGGCTGGGTGAGCGTGTCCCCGGGGGCCCCTGTCTGGGGGATGGGCCGGGCTCGGTGAGCGGGTCCCCGGGGGTCCCTGTCTGGGGGATGGGCCGGGCTGGGTGAGCGGGTCCCCGGGGGTCCCTGTGGGGGGGCCAGGCCGAGCTGGGTGGGCGTGTCGCCGGGGGCCCCTGTCTGGGGGCCGGGCTCGGTGAGCGGGCCCCCGGGGGTCCCTGTGTGGGGGATGGGACGGGCCGGGTGAGTGGGCCCCCGGGGGTCCCTGTGGGGGGGCCGGGCTCGGTGAGCGGGCCCCCGGGGGTCCCTGTGGGGGGGCCAGGCCGAGCTGGGTGAGCGGGTCCCCGGGGGCCCCTGTCTGGGGGATGGGACGGGCTGGGTGAGCGGGTCCCCGGGGGCCCCTGTCTGGGGGATGGGACGGGCTCGGTGAGCGTGTCCCCGGGGGTCCCTGTATGGGGGTCCCTGTCTGGGGGATGGGACGGGCTGGGTGAGCGGGTCCCCGGGGGTCCCTGTGGGGGGGCCAGGCCGAGCTGGGTGGGCGTGTCCCCGGGGGCCCCTGTCTGGGGGCCGGGCTCGGTGAGCGGGCCCCCGGGGGTCCCTGTGTGGGGGATGGGACGGGCCGGGTGAGCGGGTCCCCGGGGGTCCCTGTGGGGGGGCCGGGCTTGGTGAGCGGGCCCCCGGGGGTCCCTGTGGGGGGGCCAGGCCGAGCTGGGTGAGCGGGTCCCGGGGGCCCCTGTCTGGGGGATGGGACGGGCTGGGTGAGCGGGTCCCCGGGGGCCCCTGTCTGGGGGATGGGCCGGGCTGGGTGAGCGGGTCCCCGGGGGCCCCTGTCTGGGGGATGGGCCGGGCTCGGTGAGCGGGTCCCCGGGGGTCCCTGTCTTGCGGATGGGCCGGGCTGGGTGAGCGTGTCCCCGGGGGTCCCTGTATGGGGGTCCCTGTCTGGGGGATGGGCCGGGCTGGGTGAGCGGGTCCCCGGGGGTCCCTGTCTGGGGGATGGGCCGGGCTGGGTGAGCGTGTCCCCGGGGGTCCCTGTCTGGGGGATGGGCCGGGCTCGGTGAGCGGGTCCCCGGGGGTCCCTGTCTGGGGGATGGGCCAGGCTGGGTGAGCGTGTCCCCGGGGGCCGGGCTCGGTGAGCGGGCCCCCGGGGGTCCCTGTGTGGGGGATGGGACGGGCCGGGTGAGTGGGTCCCCGGGGGTCCCTGTGGGGGGGCCGGGCTCGGTGAGCGGGCCCCCGGGGGTCCCTGGGGGGGGGCCAGGCCGAGCTGGGTGAGCGGGTCCCCGGGGGCCCCTGTCTGGGGGATGGGACGGGCTGGGTGAGCGGGTCCCCGGGGGCCCCTGTCTGGGGGATGGGACGGGCTCGGTGAGCGTGTCCCCGGGGGTCCCTGTATGGGGGTCCCTGTCTGGGGGATGGGACGGGCTGGGTGAGCGGGTCCCCGGGGGCCCCTGTCTGGGGGATGGGACGGGCTCGGTGAGCGGGTCCCCGGGGGTCCCTGTGGGGGGGCCAGGCCGAGCTGGGTGGGCGTGTCCCCGGGGGCCCCTGTCTGGGGGCCGGGCTCGGTGAGCGGGCCCCCGGGGGTCCCTGTGTGGGGGATGGGACGGGCCGGGTGAGCGGGTCCCCCGGGGGTCCCTGTGGGGGGGCCGGGCTTGGTGAGCGGGCCCCCGGGGGTCCCTGTGGGGGGGCCAGGCCGAGCTGGGTGAGCGGGTCCCCGGGGGCCCCTGTCTGGGGGATGGGACGGGCTGGGTGAGCGGGTCCCCGGGGGCCCCTGTCTGGGGGATGGGCCGGGCTGGGTGAGCGGGTCCCGGGGGCCCCTGTCTGGGGGATGGGCCGGGCTGGGTGAGCGTGTCCCCGGGGGTCCCTGTATGGGGGTCCCTGTCTGGGGGATGGGCCGGGCTGGGTGAGCGGGTCCCCGGGGGTCCCTGTCTGGGGGATGGGCCGGGCTGGGTGAGCGGGTCCCCGGGGGTCCCTGTCTGGGGGATGGGCCGGGCTCGGTGAGCGGGTCCCCGGGGGTCCCTGTCTGGGGGATGGGCCAGGCTGGGTGAGCGTGTCCCCGGGGGTCCCTGTCTGGGGGATGGGCCGGGCTGGGTGAGCGTGTCCCCGGGGGTCCCTGTATGGGGGTCCCTGTCTGGGGGATGGGCCGGGCTGGGTGAGCGGGTCCCCGGGGGTCCCTGTCTGGGGGATGGGCCGGGCTGGGTGAGCGGGTCCCCGGGGGTCCCTGTCTGGGGGATGGGCCAGGCTGGGTGAGCGTGTCCCCGGGGGTCCCTGTCTGGGGGATGGGCCGGGCTGGGTGAGCGTGTCCCCGGGGGTCCCTGTCTGGGGGATGGGCCGGGCTGGGTGAGCGGGTCGCCGGGGGTCCCTGTCTGGGGGATGGGCCAGGCTGGGTGAGCGTGTCCCCGGGGGTCCCTGTATGGGGGTCCCTGTCTGGGGGATGGGACGGGCTGGGTGAGCGGGTCCCCGGGGGCCCCTGTCTGGGGGATGGGACGGGCTGGGTGAGCGTGTCCCCGGGGGTCCCTGTCTGGGGGATGGGCCGGGCTGGGTGAGCGGGTCCCCGGGGGCCCCTGTCTGGGGGATGGGACGGGCTGGGTGAGCGTGTCCCCGGGGGTCCCTGTCTGGGGGATGGGCCGGGCTGGGTGAGCGGGTCCCCGGGGGCCCCTGTCTGGGGGATGGGCCGGGCTCGGTGAGCGGGTCCCCGGGGGCCCCTGTATGGGGGTCCCTGTCTGGGGGATGGGCCGGGCTGGGTGAGCGTGTCCCCGGGGGTCCCTGTATGGGGGTCCCTGTCTGGGGGATGGGCCGGGCTGGGTGAGCGGGTCCCCGGGGGCCCCTGTCTCGGGGCCGGGCTCGGTGAGCGGGTCCCCGGGGGCCCCTGTCTGGGGGATGGGCCGGGCTGGGTGAGCGGGTCCCCGGGGGCCCCTGTCTGGGGGATGGGCCGGGCTCGGTGAGCGGGTCCCCGGGGGCCCCTGTGGGGGGGCCGGGCCGGGCTCGGTGAGCGGGTCCCCGGGGGCCCCTGTGGGGGGGCCGGGCCGGGCTCGGTGAGCGGGTCCCCGGGGGCCCCTGTATGGGGGTCCCTGTCTGGGGGATGGGCCGGGCTGGGTGAGCGTGTCCCCGGGGGTCCCTGTCTGGGGGTCCCTGTCTGGGGGATGGGCCGGGCTGGGTGAGCGGGTCCCCGGGGGCCCCTGTCTGGGGGATGGGCCGGGCTGGGTGAGCGGGTCCCCGGGGGCCCCTGTCTGGGGGCCAGGCCGAGCTGGGTGAGCGGGTCCCCGGGGGCCCCTGTCTGGGGGATGGGCCGGGCTGGGTGAGCGGGTCCCCGGGGGCCCCTGTCTGGGGGCCGGGCTCGGTGAGCGGGTCCCCGGGGGCCCCTGTCTGGGGGATGGGCCGGGCTGGGTGAGCGGGTCCCCGGGGGCCCCTGTATGGGGGTCCCTGTCTGGGGGATGGGCCGGGCTCGGTGAGCGGGTCCCCGGGGGCCCCTGTATGGGGGTCCCTGTCTGGGGGATGGGCCGGGCTGGGTGAGCGGGTCCCCGGGGGCCCCTGTCTCGGGGCCGGGCTCGGTGAGCGGGTCCCCGGGGGCCCCTGTCTGGGGGATGGGCCGGGCTGGGTGAGCGGGTCCCCGGGGGCCCCTGTCTGGGGGATGGGCCGGGCTCGGTGAGCGGGTCCCCGGGGGCCCCTGTCTGGGGGCCCCTGTCTGGGGGCCGGGCTCGGTGAGCGGGTCCCCGGGGGCCCCTGTCTGGGGGATGGGCCGGGCTTGGTGAGCGGGTCCCCGGGGGGGCCGGGCGTGGGCCGCAGCTGGGGCGGGGTCCCCGGGGGTCCCTGTCTGGGGGCCGGGCCGAGCTGGGTGAGCGGGTCCCCGGGGGCCCCTGTCTGGGGGATGGGCCGGGCTGGGTGAGCGGGTCCCCGGGGGCCCCTGTGGGGGGGCCGGGCCGGGCTCGGTGAGCGGGTCCCCGGGGGCCCCTGTCTGGGGGATGGGCCGGGCTGGGTGGGCGTGTCCCCGGGGGCCCCTGTCTGGGGGCCCCTGTCTGGGGGCCGGGCTCGGTGAGCGGGTCCCCGGGGGCCCCTGTCTGGGGGCCGGGCTGGGTGAGCGGGCCCCCGGGGGTCCCTGTGGGGGGGATGGGACGGGCCGGGTGAGCGGGCCCCCGGGGGTCCCTGTGGGGGGGCCGGGCTCGGTGAGCGGGCCCCCGGGGGTCCCTGTGGGGGGGCCAGGCCGAGCTGGGTGAGCGGGTCCCCGGGGGTCCCTGTCTGGGGGATGGGCCGGGCTGGGTGAGCGGGTCCCCGGGGGCCCCTGTCTGGGGGCCCCTGTCTGGGGGCCGGGCTCGGTGAGCGGGTCCCCGGGGGCCCCTGTCTGGGGGATGGGCCGGGCTCGGTGAGCGGGTCCCCGGGGGGGCCGGGCGTGGGCCGCAGCTGGGGCGGGGTCCCCGGCGCGGCGGGCGCGGGGCGGGCCGCCGGGCGCTAGGGCCGCGCGGGAGCCGCGCGGTGGCTCGGGCTCCGCGGGCGGGGGCTGTGCGGCTCAGTGCTGCAGTGGAGGCGGCGGAGCTGCGGGCGGAGGCCGCGCCGGGCAGGGCAGGAGGCGGCGGCGGAGAGGGGGAGCGCGGCGGCGGCGGCTCCCGGGGGAGGTCCAGGCCCGGGACTGGCCGAGGTAGGAGCGGGCCCCAGGCGGCGGCGGGGGGGGGCCGCTTCCCCAGGGCCGATCCTCCCCTTCTCCGCCCCCGGGTGGGGGCGGTGCCATGGGGGCAAGCGGGCACGGAGCTGGGGGCTTGGCACCCGGGCACGGGGACGGGGAGCGGGCAGAGCCCGCACCAGCTGCAGCCGCCCCCTCCCTGGGCTGCATGGGCCATGCGCCGCAGCCCCCCTTCCCCCCCGCCGCTTGTTGCATTTTATGTGCCTGCAAAGAAATCTGCCCTAGATGTTGCATTGCCCCCCCCCTTGCTTTCTCGGCAGTCGGTGCCCCTTCCTCCTCCCAAGTTCGGGTGCCCCCGACCCCACTGCCCACAGATCGATGGGGGGAAAAGCGATTGGTACTCAGGGGCTACCCCCTTGCCTTGCACCCAGACTCCCCGATTTGCGTACACGGGGGGCACACGAACTTGTGATCCCCGGGGGGCTGTGGGGGGAGAGAGCCCCCTGATCAATTAATGAGCCGTCAACTCTATCCCCTGAGGTGGAGATACAGCTTTTGCATTGAATATTGGGGGGGGCACCCAGATCCCCTCTTCTGTGTGGGGGTTTCCTTTATTTCACGTACGTTTGCAGACGTGTCTCGGCTGCAGTGCATTGCTCCCGGGTATTATTTTTTTTTCAGCCGTGCATTGGGTTTTGTACAAAAATAAGATGGGGGAGGAGAAGGGTGGGCACGGTTCCAGGGCAAGGAAATAATCCCCCTCCCCCTCCCTCAAACCCTTCTGTGAAGTGGAATGTAGAGCCGGGTTTGCAGGAGGGTGGTATGGAGGGCAAAGCAGAGAAGCAGGAAAAATGGCAGCCTGGCATGACCCTTCTTCTCTCGCTGTTCCCCCCTCCCCCTTGCTGTCCTGTGCCCTCCAGAGAAGGGGGCTTTAGGACACAGGCTGCAGCCTGGGGGGGTCCTGTCAGGGAGTCAGGATGGGAGGAGATAAGGCGGTTCTGCAGACAAGCTGCAGGGGTGTAAGGCACTGGTTGAGGGTAGGGATGGGGGGGATTGCTCTGATCTGCTGGGAGAGGAATCCATCCCTGGGGAGCAGGTCCCTGTGCACCCCCACCTGTGGCTTGATCTATGTGTGTGGAAGGTAGGAAACCCCTTGAGTTTGGGCGGGAGCTGCTGCTCTGCTGTTGGATTGTGCCTGCCGAGGGCCAGGACCGGGGTGCAGGGAGGGGTCATTCCCCAGGCTCTGCTAGCAGCATCCTCTTGCTCTGGAGCTTTGCTGAGGGGATGGGAGGAAACCTGCCCCCTCTCCCCCACCAGATACTGAGGGCAGGCCAGGGAGGGTATGGTGCATTGTAAGGAAGGTGGAGGGTGGTGGTTGTTTTTTTGGGGGGGGAGGAGGGGGGGGAAGAGAAGGGAGGATTCTTTCCCTCCATCCCATCATCAAGCCCAACCCCAGGGAAGTGTTAGTGGGACAGAGACCCTGCAAGGGGCAGAGGAAGCTGCTGCGTCCCTGGCTGGATTTGGAGGAGTCAGGGTGGTTCACAGCCCCCGATGAAGCTGGGCTCTCCTCCCTGTGAAGAGCTGGGTGCAGACGTGTCCTTGAACGCTTTGCATCTGCACTGATGAAGGGCAAGGCATCACAGCTGGGATTTGGGGGAAGGAGGGAGGCTGCATCGTGGTTCTGGCCCCCTCCCCAGCACATACACACTCACTGCAGGGGAATTGCCTCCGTGGGGCCATTTAATCAGCCCCACAAATTAGCCCTTCTAAAACTCGCTCCCTTCCCTCCTGCCTGTGCCTCTTTCTTCCCTGCATTGCCTGCTTGGCTGGTTTATCATCCCGGGCCTGGCAGAGGGCCAGGCCCCATCCCCTCCCCCCGGGGCTCTCTTTTCTCCAGCCTTTGGGCCGGGATCTGGCTGGCGGTGTGTGGGGGGAGAAGACACTGTGAAAATCTCTATTCCCCCCCCCCACCCCAAGTTCTCTTGTCTTTTTATTTGGAAATGGCCTCTCTCCCTCTTTTCCATCCTCATCGGCAAGGCTGGGCTGCCTGTATTGTGACAAGGGCTTTGCAGCTCCCTCCAAACACAAGAAGCCTAGAGAGGTTTTTGCAAGGCAGGCTGGCAGCTGAGATGTGCATGTTACTCATTCCCTGCACACAAGTGTCATTGACTTAGCCTGCCCATCTGTGTGTGTGTGCGCGCGCGCCCGTGCGTGTGTCTGTTTCTCTTGCGCTCTCATCTGTCACTTGGGAGGGACAAACTCCTATGGGATCTGCATGGAGATTCTTTTTCTTATACACAGTCATTTCAGAATGATCATTATCAAACGCTTGCCCTGCTGGGGGAGGGAGCACTGCTACCTTTAGCCTCTGAAAGCTCTCAGTCCAGGATTGGGGCAAAGGGGGGGAAGTTGGCATGCTGTTTAATCTCCAGGAAACTTGTTTAAGGGGGGTGCCGTTATGCAGAAATATTGGGAAATGCACTAAAGATCCACTTTGAAGCCCCATCTATAAATTCACGGTTTTGAGTGTTTGTAGGACTGTCTGGTTGTTTTTCCGCCTGATGATTTTGCTGGCGAAGAATAGTCAGATGTCCAGCTAGAATGGGAAAGAATCAAACTGTAAGTCATTAGAGGCTGGGTAGTTTGGTCTCATACATACAGGAGCGAAGTTCATCTTTTGTATTGATTGTGCTAGTTTTCATCCATTGACCTGTTTCCTTCTGTAAGTACAATGCAAAAATCTATATGGAGAAAGAAAGGGTTCTTCATGGCTTGGAATTGAGGCCTAAAAGATCTGTATCTGCTTATGACGTGTACAGTTACCACAGACTTCCCTAGCTGTCTCTTTTTATGTTTATTAATGAGATAAGTTCAAGTTAGTGATGCCTTTTTTTCAGTGTTTGAGTGTGTGTGTGTCTTTGAGCAAGTGAAATTTTCCTCTTAGCCTAGTTCCTCTTTTTTTCTTCCCTTTGTGCTGTGTAGATGGCATCACAATGGTTGGTTTTACTATATTTGCATTGCTTTGCTAAGTGGATGATTGCAGAAATAAACCAAGAGGTCAGTGGCTATGTTTTGGTGAACGGCTTGCAGCCCAGTAACCTTTGGAGAGCCTAGGCTTTGAAAACACAGTGCTGTACATATGTGTATATTTTTAACTTCGCTGCTTATACGGGCCTGGAGTACCATTTAGAGAGGCGAGGTTTCTGTCTAAAATCCTATGGAAGGAGAAGGCCTAGAAATTTGTAAGCAAATTCTTCAAATCCAGTGGCTGTGAAGTTCTTCACAATAATGGAAGAGGAATTGACCTTTTTGTGTTTAGTAACTGCTCTCAATAACTCTTCACACATGCAATAGCCTTTCATGCTGAGTCAGCTCGAAACTTCCTAGCAGGAGTCTTTTTTCTTAAAATGAAATGTCCACAAACATCTCTAGGAAATAATGGATACCCATATATAACGGTTGACTAAGGGCTTGCAAGCAGGTCTATAGTAGAGTGGCAGTGGGATTAGGGTCCAAACAATGTTTCCTTAGCTGCTTAAATAATCTCTAAATTTATAAGTGTCTTAAAAACATCTCTCTGGGTTGGTTGGAATGAAAGCAGAGCCAAAATGATTTAGTTCCTGACTTCATTCTCAGGAAAACGGGCTGGGTAAAACCCTGGAGGGATGTTTGCTTTTAAAAAGTTGGCAGAATCCACTAATTTGATCCTGCTTTGCAAAGTATTTTTGAGGGTGGGCACCGCCCCTTTCACCATAGCACCTCCCATTGCTTACTGTATTTTGTTTGTTTTTGATATTTTACACAACGGATACGTGAAGCTCTGCTTCTGGGCAGCAACTCCGGGAACCTCAGGTGATTTAACATTCATTCTGCATAGTCCTAAAAATATCACTTCACAATTATGCATCACTGCTTGATTGCTTCCGTGCTAGCATCTCCCCACACTTATACCAAACCATGGGCTGGCTTTTTCCTTGCCCTTTGTTACAATTGGGGTTCTTCTAACCTACAGCATCCCTGCTTTGCTCAGTCTACGGTTCTCCTAATCTTCTTAGTGCATGCTTGAGAACAGTTTGAGAGGTTTCACTTATAAATCCCTTGAGTGTCTCCGAACAGCTAAGGTCAATGGTAGAAAGTAGATCTGGCTGCAATTCTCGTGTATTGGTGATGATGTAACAGAAAGGGGTGCCCTGCTTTCTGCTCTGGGCTTCTTTGAGCCTGTGGCAGAACTGAAAAGGAAAGTGAACTGGCACAGTGATGCTCTTTATTACCCTGATGAGTGTGTTTAATTTTCCATGTGGAGTCGGCTGTTTTGATGTATGGCATGTGTTTCATGTGGGGGTTGAACAGAATTAGCTACATGTAAACAGTGAAATGTTTCATACTTCTGAGTGCAGTTTTCTAGAGAACAAATAGTAGAGTTTGGGACCAAGTTGTTCCTGAATTTTCTTGTAGATTTTAGGCTGTTTAGTTTTTTAAATGAAGGTCTTCTTGACCTACTAACCAGAAACTTCTCTAGCAGCCATTCCGTTAGTGTTGGGGTGGGTGGGGGAGGGCTGGGAGACTTCCAGGGACATGTGAAGCAAATGTTTCGTAGATTCATAGAGTTTAAGGTCTGATCAACTAGTCTGGCCATTGAATTTCACTCAGATACCTCCCTGTGTGCTGAGCCCAGTGACTTGTGTTTGGGTAAAAAGCAGATACCTTCCATAAAGACGTCAGATTGGAAGCCATCAAGAGAGACAGAATCCACCACTTCCCTAATCCCCCTCACTCTTAAAAATAGTGCCTTATTTCTCATTTGAATTTGCTTGGCTTCAGTTTCCCGCCTCCAGTTCTTGTTTTGCTTTTCTCAGGTAGTGTGAAGAGCCCTTTAGTACCCAATATTGTCTCCCTGTGAAAGCACTTATACCCTGTAATCAACTGACCTCTTTTGCTAACCAGATTGAGCTCTCTAAGTCTCTCACTGCAGGGTGTTCTCGCTCACCCTCTAATAATTTTTGTGGCTCTTTCCTACA